AGACACCACCAGGGAGTGCCAAGTCCGATGCAAAAGCATAGAGTCTTTTATTCAAGCCCGGGCTTGGTCCCCCTCTGCCTCCATTACTGGATGCGAGAGAGAGCCCCGAGTCCCAAGAGAACAAAGAATTTATAGGGCTTGGGGAGGGGGGTGGAGGCACTTGGTCGATTCTGGTTGGTTGAGTGAGGGCCAGGGGCTAGTTTCCCTTGCTTTCCCATTGGCTGAGATAAGGGCAGGCTGAGTAACTGATACATTCTGTAGCTTTCCTGGGTGAGGAGTTAGGGACACAGCTATCAGTTCCGTTCTGTCCTTTCACTATCAGTTCTGTTCTGTCCTTTTGTTAGGGACACAGCTATAAGTTCCGTTCTGTCCCTTCACAGTCAGATCCTGGCAATACTCCATCTGCAATGTCTTTTGAATCTGCCCTCTCCTCCGGACCCCACAGTCACAGACCTGGGTTTCACCCTTCTGTTTCTTGCTTGTATTGCTTAAATAGCCCTGACCCATCTCGTCCAAGCCACTCACACTTCCTTCAAACCATCTACAAGGAGCAGTCAGAGTTATCTTTCTAAAGCACAAAGCTGATCTTGTCCTTAAAATCTTTCAATGGCTCCCAATTGTCTACCTACATGTTCAAGTCCAAGGGTCTTAAAATTTAGCAGCCCTCTGTGTTCCAAACTGCCTCACCACCATGTTTTCTCCAATGAGCTTCTCCTGGCCTTCTACCCCCTCCTCCCAGCTTGCCTTTCCCATTATAATGTGAATTCCTTGAGAGGAGGAACTAGATCTTAATCATCTCTACAGAGCTCAACACAGAGTAGGTTGGGTGAAGGAATGAATTTATTCTCAAGAAATCATGTGACTGAAGGGAAAGTCATATGAAGGAAACTTCACTGTAGCAACATTCATAATAAAGAAAAAGTGCAAAAAACTAAGTGTTCAACAATAGAGAACTTTTATTAATTACTAGAGGACTGGTGTGCGAATTAGACATCAGGCCGAAACCAGCTCTCTGACATCCCCTGAGGGGTCCCAGATTGCGAGGGGTCCCAGATTGCTAGAGGGCACAGGCCAGGCTGAGGGACCTCACCAGTGCACAATTGGGGCCGGGGAGGGAGTGGGAGGTCGGCCAGCCAGGGAGGGACTGCAGGAGGGCTCCAGGGCGTGTCCAGCCCATCTCACTCAGTCCCGATTGGCTGGACCCCAGCAGCAAGCTAACCTACCAATCAGAGCATCTGCCCCCTGGTGGTCAGTGCACGTCATAGCAAGCAGTTGAGCAGCCTTAGCATATCATTAGCATATTACGCTTTGATTGGTTGAAAGGCCGACTGGTGGACCTGACACTTATCATATTAAGCTTTTATTATATAGGACTAGAGGCCCGGTGCACAAAAATTTGTGCACTTGGGGGGGTCCCTCAGCCTGGCCTGTGCCCTCTAGCAATCTGGGACCCCTCGCAATCTGGGAACCCTCAGGGGATGTCAGAGAGCTGGTTTCGGCCTGATG